ATAATAATAATAATAATAATCAACTATTTATTTGTTATTATTTCTTAATTCAAAAGTTTATCATTTTTCTATTTCCTTCAACAAAAATTGATCAACAACAGTATCTATGGCACCAGTTGCGACCATACATTACCTAGAACATAATTTTGTATATTAATACTTTGTATTGAAAAGAAAAATAATAAAAAGAATCAGACCACCAGACCACTACATAAATACATCTTGTGTATTGAACTGAAGAATTCCTGTGTTCACAGCCTCGATAATAATAATATTACTATTATCATATATAATGATCATTTTTAACACTAAATGAAACCATAGATCCAACATGCATACATACAAATACGTATAATACATAAATACCATCTGCTTATTATTAGAATAAGAGTAATAAGAAACCAAGATACGTATACTCATGTGTACATCTCTTTCCGAGTATTTCGTATTATTGTTATTGACTACGGTGAATAAATGAGTAGGCGGGTAATATGATAGATAGCTAAATGTTGTTCACTATCAATATTTTGGTGATGACTTTATTGTAATAGTTCTCTATTTTGATTTCTTTATTACTTTAATTAATCTATTATTACTATAGCTTAATTGTGATCGGATAAGATGTAATCCCATGGTAGCCAGTGACCAACGATTGATTAATACGCCATTTGTTCCATCAGGATACTGGAGATCATGTGTACCATTAGTTTGGAATGAGGGTTTTCCAACTCCCCTAGGTGGACTCACAGTGTCCACCAATCCGGTTAAAGCCCCCCATCGGACATTCGCTTTTCGTCTTCTCAATTTCGTAAACAACACTCGTGTTGCGAGAATGCAGTGAGTAGGACTTCCCTGGTAGAGGCTATATACGTGTGGCCATATGAGAGGATTTGGAGAGGGAGAGCGGACTCTCCCCACCCTCATTTGGGGGCACTAGGCTGATCATGACTCACTGGCTGACTATTAACTATAAGGTCGATGACTGATTTCAAAGTAACATTACAGACTAGTGAAATTGATCAAACGCTTTTGCTATCTAAACTGAACAGTAGTCAATTTAATTGTTCGTCTTAAGATACTTAGAAAATTATACTTAATAGCTAGGTCATAATTGATTGAAGAATGAATGAATTACAAACTAATTTTCTCCAATCACTTATACTATTTCATCATGTTGATTTTGTGTTCATATTCAGTATAGAAACATATCATTTTATAACATGTAGAAACCTATTCATCTAATTGATAGTTTTGTCTTTGATCCTTAATCTACTGAGACCTCAAATCAAAAATACGGGCTCGTGGGCAGTCAACACACGGCCATACTATATAACTGAGTATATCTATCGATTAAGACTGGGATGAAGTTATACCAAGCAAAGGAATTGCAGCCAAATATAGAGAACTATAGTATACAGCTAGACTTTATGCTACACAATTAATAGAAGTCCATATGCTCAATGAGTCCAGAGCAGAAATGACAGGAAGGGGAATCACACATTAAGTAGTGACCTGTGTCTGTCTCTCCGCTCTCAATAATTAATCTTATACTACTTCCACTAGGCATTATCAATATTATGACAATCCAAACGTTCACGGCATAATCTGTACTGCACTCGTTATATACATGACATTCAACAGTATTATATTACATTATTAGATTACCCAGACAAACATATTCTTAGTAGGGTATTAAAGTTAGGAGATTTAGGTAGCAAATACTATTTAAGTGAATGACTAATTCCCTTTGTTGTTCCATTATTGAGCAAACCAAGAACCGGCAGTTGACGTTAACTACACATGACCATTATGTATACACTGAATTTCATCTTATCTGTGAGTTACAAAATTATCCATGGAATTTTTCCTATGAAGTCTTAAAACAAGCATTAGTTGACACAAATACTGTGGTGTGGGTTACTTGTACCCATATAAGTAGTATATAACGATGGTCGGGCATTGAATGTATTTCAGTAGAAGATCGATAAGGTGAAAACGGGATGCAATTGGCATGAAAATGCATGAAAAATAATAATCGGAGACTATGGACTGATATTTGCAGAAGGAAAGATCAAGATTGAGACAACTGATTGATAGTTTGCAAATTAACTGTTTACTGTATGGTAGTCAGATTTTAGTGAGATACTCTATAATTTGTGCTTAAATACATTCAATTGTCCCCGCTCGTGTTCTCATTCTCTACAATACGAGAGGACAGAAAAGTATAAGGTCGACGGCTAGGCTCCGATATACGCTTATTATAAACCAGAGATACTATTTAACTGCCTAAACTAAGGGTTATGATAAAGAAGTTTGAACATGTTACTTAAATATGAGGGGTTAGACTAGTTGACCATCCAACCTATGGATCATTAGAAGAGGAAATATTGAACATCCTTCTCCATAGAGCAATAATCTAATCAATAAGCGGCTAGCCTCCTGTTGGATTTCGGAGTGAAACTGTTGTCATTTTTTATTCCCTACAAAACCATAGAGCTTAGCAGTATATATATATATATATATATATATATATATATATATATATATATATAGAGAGAGAGAGAGAGAGAGAGAAAGGTGGAACTGATCGAAGAAAATATGAACAGTAGGGGATAAAGTGACGATTTGCTCGTGTATCTGCCTAATCATTTGTATGAACGTTTGTTAGGTGATACCAAGCTTTTTACCGATAAAATCTATCTCGCAATACAATTACCAACTTCGGAAGAATCCCATACGGATGTTCATGTTAGCGACAAAAAGTTGTAATCCTGTGTTGATTGAACGGTGTCAATTAGTTAGTCATATGCAATATAGAACTTGGAACATTTGTACATAGGTTCAAGTTGCCGCACTACATTAGCGTACCAAGACAAACCTTGAAGTAGTAGTAACCGTATCAGTGGCACTAATGGAAATATGATTCTAGAGGAATGAATTCGTGGAATAAAAAAGACAAGGTAATTAAGAAACTAAAGATCTACGGGTGTACAAAAAGTGAACAGATCTTTTTCATTGCAACAGATTCTGAGCTACAATTGATTACGATAACTGTGAGGAACTCAACCGCGTATTCTGGATTCACCCAGATGGCTCAGTCTAACAGTAAATAAATTTGTGGACTCATGTTACGTTTAAGTCTGACCACCCATAGGTTTGCTACTACCAATTTATTCCTATACTAATCAACATCACGTGCCAAAATAGGCTATAACCAAATTAAGTAAGATAGAATTCGAGCCTTGAGTAATCTGCCAGGAATAACAGTTAGTTACGAACTGAGAAACAAACAAAAACAAAAAAGATAGTTGAGTGAAACTTAAAAGTCCTGTAACTGAATATAGAACATAGATGTAGAATACAAAACCAAAATTCTAGTACTCCTAACTAACTTTCCGGGCTAAATAATATACTTTAATAAATAATTAAACAAAAATAATGACTAAGATATTCAGTCCCCCTTTAAGAAAAACAAAGAGGAAACGCCTGTTTATGGTTAGTTAGGTAGAAACGAAAAGTGTTTTACAGTATCTAACAGTATGGTAATAAAATATCTGTATGTTGTAGTGAAATGGCAACTAAATTACCCTTTTTCACTAAACAAAAGAAAAAAAGGATAAATAAAGTTTAGAAATCATATTTGAATGTATTACATCACTGAGCTCTCAAATGCCCTGGTACGGTCAAAAGTGGGGAGAGTCCGCTCTACCTCTCGAAATGCTCTCACATGGTCACGAGTATATAGCCTCTGTCAGGGAAGTCCTACTCACTGCCTTCTCTTGGCATTACTGTTGTTTACGAAATTAAGAGGACCTGGTCGGTGGACACGGCGAATCTACGTAGGGGAGTTGGAAAACTCTGATTACAAACCAATAGTGCACATGGGCTCCAGTATCCTGAAGGAATAAAAGGCGTATGAATCAGTCGTTGGTCACAGGCTACCATGGAACTGCATCTCCTTACGATGCTCCACTGCCTTTTGGATCAGACCTTTAGGTCAAAGGCTCCGGGTGTGGTCCCCTAAGAAAACCACCTGCTTCAGTTTTGGCACCTGGGCAGTATCACAGCCCTCACACGAATCGAATGAGATTTTTGCGGCACATATTTACCTGGTGCTTCTTTGTACCAATATTTATGCGTTTAAATAAAATAAAATAATAAACATCACTGTCTGATAGGAAAAAGAGAAAAACACACAACCAAATGTAAGTTTTAAGCATATAAGCTAGAAAAGTCATTTTTAAAGTTTTAATCGGATAGCACACAAAAGGTCTGGTCAAAATTTGTCCATATATGTCTAATCAGAAGTTTAAGATGAGAAATTTATTAGCCACTGAGGTGAAACTATAATTTATGGACAAACCAATCAGATTTGAGATGACAGATCTTCGATTTTGGCGCGAAATCCATTCATCTATTTAGCTAAATGGGGTTTCAGCATTTTGTCTGATGTCGGTACGTGATGAAAACCCTAAATTGAATTCCTAACCCTAACCATCAACTGTAAATCATCATAATTCTAATTCCTCATACTGGTTTATAACTGTTATTTAGTCCTAGTTAGTAGGTGGACATTCTCAAGGTCACTGTAGCGTCACTCAAAGGTCGTCCATAAATTATGGTCTCCTCGCCACCGAAATACAAGATAAGTTCGGTATAGAATCTTCGAAAAAATATCTATAAAATACAGAATCCCGTGTAAAGATTTTGATTGGATATTTACATATACTGCTACTATATTTATTATGGTTCCAGAAATTTCCAGAGTCCCAAGTTCGTGTGTAATCTCATAAATACATTCGTTTTTCTGTACACCAACTAACTTTGGAGTAAAGCTTTTACTCGCAATCTGCTTCTCTCTAGTGTCCCGGTTGATGCGTAGAAGTAGTTTGAGGTTACTGGAATCAGTTAAAAAGACAGTATCAGCAGCGGGACCTATCAAAACTGTATTTAGAAAGTCAATAGTTTGAAAAACAAAAGTACCCTTCTCATTCACTTACCAACATGTTTTCATAAGTACACGCAATTCTGAAGGACATGTCACTGGAACTGGTAAACGAAGATTTTCACTTCCAACACCCCATAGAATCGCAGTTGAATCAACATTATGATATGGAATTTCACCGGTTAATAACTCCCATAAAAGTACACCATAAGACCTTGAAGTAAAATTAGACCGGAACAAATACTTGTGATTATTTTATTGATTAACTGTGAATATTAAGCATTATTGAATATGGTAGACAATATAATCGAATGAATGACAGGTAACATACAGTCAATAAAAAAAGAACTACTCAGTTTCTGTACAGACATAGAATATGATCTCATGTAACGACGCACTATACACCTTACAGTTTGTAGAAAGATACGTGTTACTGAGATATTGAAGGAGTTTTTGGACTGCTACATACCAGTATAGACTTTACTAAAGAGAAACATATTACACCCATTATATATATATATCCTCGGGCAATCATGGGAGATTATCAGTATGAGGTGGTGGAGATTATTATTATTTTTTGATTAAGATCATGAACCGATTGATGTTAGACCACCATTGAAAACCTGAAAGCACTGGACGACAATTTCGGACAACTGCGGGACTGCTCATCAGTGCATCCACGGCCCCGCCCGCGGGGTTCGAACCCAGGGCCTTCAATCTCGCGCTCGAACACTTAACCTCTAGACCACTGAGTTGGCATCCGGCGGTGTTAATGTCTAACCTCAACCAATCCACGAAATTGCGCGACCATCTTCCACTGTAATGGTCCCGTGAGCGGAATCGTGGAGGCTCAGTTCTGAGGAGTCCCACAACGAGACGAAACGGTCGTCCAGTGCTTTCAGGTTTTCAATGATGGTCTAACATCAATCGGTTCACGATCTCAATCAAAAATCATTGGAGAATCCCATTTTCGCTAGTAATGTTAAAATCTTGCTAGAAACGATAACTGTAAGTATTTTTATTTCCAACTCAATTTCTCAAGTAACCTTTACCTGTCTCCGATTGGTTTCCAATACTGTAAGTTCGTTCATTTTCTGAATACTTGAAGGTTATGTTTTCGTTACCATATAAGCTGCTGATACTGTGTTGGTGACTAATTGTTGAAGTATTGCTTGGGGAACTACCGTTACTGATCAGTATTCTGTTTGAACGCTTGAATCGGTTTCCCAAGCTATAAATAAACCCAGGATAAATCTACACGACGACTCGAACACGAGAGAAAAGGCGCGAAGTGTGAAAAGAATGCTTTACTCTAAGGTTAGTTTATGTGAATAAAATCGAGGGTATTTATAGTATTCCAAATGGCCTTTGGCTTCTGGAAGGTTCGAGAACCCTACTGAATATAGTAATGCAGTGAACAAGAACGCTGGTGGAAACAATCAAATGTACTTAAACACAAAATTACAGAATCTCTTAGTCAAATCTGAGAACCAAACAGAAAATGCTTAATTTGCAAAATGTCAATCAATTGTTTCAAACTTGACTGTTCCTTTGCAAATGTCAATCGATCGTCTCGGACTTCACCGTTCCTTCATTTCCATACCGATCGCTTTCTGTTCCCGTTATTTCCTTCTCGACCTTCTGCTGCCAAACATTCTATTCCTGACTCACGATATATGCTACTTATGTCGACATAAGTAGCAAATACTACATTAACAGGATAAGTAATCACCCAATCAGAAATGCGGTTCTTCAGTTTTTAGATCTTTCTGAGAAACTTTTACTCCACACTAATGGGTCTAAATGTCTCCCAGAGCTTTAGGGGCCCCTCTGAGCTTCTTTTTTTATAAATTCTTTGGGTCTTACCAACACTTTTCTTCTTTCACAAAATAAGATTCCATTTTTGGGTCTGCTTGACAAATCAGTTAACAAGTCTGCAATAGAATCATTTGTATTTAAATAACTTAATCGTTCTATAATTAGTAAGTATCGTATGGACCAAATGGTAACCTCAATAAAAATAATCATCTTTATCAAGACTCAACAATATATATTACCTTATAAACCCTATAACACAGCTATTCAAATGTACATGCACACTATTAAGTACAGATGATAGATATCTAAAATAAAGTATACCCTTTTCTCAAATTTAATCTTCAAAATAAGAAAACAACTTACCATACATCAACTTTAAATGAACAAGGTTCATTACGTATTACTTCAGGTGCCATCCAAGCTACAGTGCCAGTAAATGACATTTTAGTAGAATTCTCTGTCCATTCACGAGATGCACCAAAATCGGATATTTTTAATAGGTGATTATAACCGACTAAAACACTGAAAGATAGAAAATATTAAGTAATGACATTTTAGAAATATTTATCATGATTATAGTAATGTATATTAGGATACGTGGTTTGTGAAAGTATAAGCGTAGGCTGCATGTTTTAGAACACATGTCTTCAAAGCATTGCTCGTCTATAATAGAAAGACTGAGTAGGCAGTGTTGAGGATAGGCAAACGTTATTAAGCAAAAATGTCAAAACGGTTGATGAAAATGTGATTCATAGTTGACTGATATGGTAGTTTAGACATTTGTTACCTATTTATAACCACCGACTACCTCAAAGTGCAATATTTACAAGTATAGGAGTAGGTTAAAAGAAATTAAGAGTCGACCAAATCAAGACGTTGGACTAATCCATCAAGTCCATGACTGATGGTTTAAGATGTGCTGATAGATGCAGATTACCTGTTTGGAAGTTCCTGTAATAAGTAAGATCAGTGGTTGGAGATTTTTAGTGACAAAGTTAAGAGTAAGTTAGAATAGCGGATATGTATTAACCCTCTAAGTTTCCCTAGAGCTTGAGTTCCAGTATTCCACCATACATTTCCATTCTGGTTTTTCGTACGATACATCTAATCCTTAATCTGTCTCATTATCATTGCCATCACACTGTTTAGATTTCTTCACACTCATTGTGTTCATCTTCTACCGCCAGATTCAATTGTTGACTAAGAATACGCAAATGATATAGTTCTGCTTGGTGAAGACGCTGATAAAATGAAACCTTCTGACCACTTCAGGCAACAATGCAAATATGTTTGGGATGTGGTTCTCATCCTCAAACTTAGAACGTTACTTCATGATTGGCTTGAGTTGGCGCCTAAATTAATGATAGGGAGTGAAGTAGTTGAACGCATCAACTGCTTCACTTATCTTGAAAGTCACATCAGCGATACTGATCTGGTATCTCACGAAATCTAGGTACACATTTGGAAGGCTCAATTGATTTTTGTTAACTTGCGTCACTTGTGGAGTAGGCGAGAATTTGAATAACATAACTCAAAATCGTTTGCAATCACAAAGGTGCATACACTCTTCATATTTCCTTAGATTCTAAGCTACTGAATTCCTAGGAATTTTTTAATTCACTAATTTATATTTTCTTAGATAACTCAAAGTCTCCAAGCATTGATTGTGATAATCATGAGGACCATAACCGATTAGTCTACACCTGTTAGCATGGCTCAGTCCAATTTTCAACGACTTTATAGACTGTCGGTCTTATATTTTGGTTTTGTCGGCCCTAGTTTTCCTCCAGCCTACACCTGCACCAGAAAACATCGTCCGTCGAGGTAGGCGGTGGTTGGAAATATCCAACATATGTTCCTAATCACCTGAGTTGATGACGATTTACTACCTCATTAATACAATCGAAGTGAAATATAGATATGGAGTATAACAGAGGCCTGGCGGTCCAGACAATATCGTTAAAATTTAAAGAATAATACGTGCACCACGTATATGTGTACACGAACACACTTTATTGCATATATATACCATATAAAACCTACTTTGGTGATTTAAGATCTCTGTGAATGATTTTACATGAATGTAAATAATGCATTCCATCGGCGATCTGTTTAACCCATGAACAAATTAAAGATGGTGATATAGGATTGCCTGAGTGTATTATTTCATATAATTGACCATATGGACAATATTCCATAAGTATACAGTAACACGGTTGTTCCACACAAACTCCTCTGGAATTAATCAATTAATGATACAAAAAAATGTATGAAAAATATGAACATTTTATGGTGTTATTGTAAGAGATATTAGATCTTCAGATATAATTTAGTAAAAAGAGATTAAGTGAAATCTTGTGTATTGACTTTGTAAATGCGATTTTCGCAGTCATTTAGTGTTTTAACAGCACCTGGTATCTTTACGTGGTGTTAAGGCTTGTATTTCGTGATGAATAAACTGAGCTATATTGGCTAGAATATTTTTTTTGTTTACGTCCTATCGTGGCAGGCAGATCAGTTAGAAAACGGTACGATTAAAAGTAACAGCTTAGGTTTCGCGAGCGAAACCGTACTGCTGACCATACTGGGTAGTGATGGCAGTGAAATGTATTACTCAGATAACCGGTATTTGCAGCAATTGTCTTTCCACAGCAAAAGGAGGAAGTAAGGGAAAGTCAGTCCTAGAAATGGGATACCTAACCTTGCTCAATGAACTTATGTTACCGATGGTAAGGTTTGTAAAATATGGAGCTAACACTTTAAGAGCTATTCACAAAAAAGCTACGTGTGACTGGCATTAAGCAGTTGTCTCTTGAGCTCATTGGTCATGCTGTCTGGTCGTCAGGAAATTCTTTAATCCAGGACTCCTTAGATTGATATACCTACCACATCCCAGAGTCGATGTTTACTCAGGAACTCGAATCCAGGGACTGATTGGTTGTAGTTCCTAACATCAACGGGAAGATTTAAATAACCGATATAAATTATTTAAAACTCATCCTGTTGCACAAGTCAGCGGCTATCTGAATTATTTAACTAAGTGGATAACGCGTCGGGCATTTGAAGAGAATGGTAGTGGTTTTGAGTCCTGGAGTGAAAATCAACACGGACGCAAGTAAATCCAGCTGATAAGACCCATACGATATAGCAAAATTAATTATAAGATTGAATATACTGAGAAATTATCGAGATTAGGAGAAAACGACTATCCAGCGTTCTGGATCATTACAAGCGTTGACATCCTCTGCATTTCAACAGATTATCCAATTACTTCATACTAATATTTCGTGATGTAAACCACAAATCTAAACATTTTCTACAAATCCTCTAAACTAATATTAATCATTTACTCATAATAGTGACTAATTTCTAGAGGTTTTAGTTAGAAGTTACGTTCAATATAGATCAATTATAATGGGAGTGAAGCGGTTACCCACCAATGATAACGGATGGACACCTAAAATCATGGATGAACTGCAGTCAGAAATGTAAACCATTAGATCAAAAATCAGTGATTCGGAGATTAAGCGCCCGTCAATAGACCTGACAGCTCTGAGTTCAATCCGCTTGAGTAGAGTTAAGGATGAGCACTGTTAAGGAGTCCGATGACAGGAAAAAGCTGTTGTGTAATGCTTCCTGGTTTTCAAAACTTGTCTTACTAAAATCAGTTCATGATATAAACTACGAAATAATTTGAAATTGTCAATCACTGAAGTTTGAACTCAATGGCTCAGTGATAATGTACTTTACTGTATTTCTGTTTTCAGTCTCACAAAGAGTAAATACTGCGTTTAATGAGAGTTCGTTGTGACGAACAAATTCTTCATTAAATCGCTGTCAACAATGGTTTACTACCTGATGTCAGTCAGTGACTAAAAGTACACTTAGTCTTTGACACAAATAGAAAGGAAGGAAGATATTCCCAGAAACATCAATAATGACAGATTTTATTACAAAAGAATTGGATATTTAATAATGAAAAAAACTAAACAAAAGTCATTTTTACTTGAATTTAATAACGTTCGGATGATTTAAATAACGTAAATGACGAATATCTGTGTCAGATTGTTTATTAACTTTTTTCACAGCGATCAATTCATCACGAAAACAACCACGAAAAACCACACCTTGTGCACCAGACCCAATCCACACTAAATCGGTCACTGATTCAAATGGGACTTCCCATGGTAGGTCTATTTAGAATAAATGAGAATTAAACAAGTGATCAAATTGAAAACAATACTTTCTTAACACACCGTTATAGTCAGAAAAATTTATTCCAGATATTATACTTGAAAAGGTTACTCGATAGTAAATTTGGCAATGACTAGATCTTTAGAGTTGCTTATGAGGAAAACTGTAATCGATAAAATCATTGAAATGATAGAGTAGTGGACCGACCTCCATAAAGTTGATTTTGTACTCTAAAATTTATTTAGTAGTCATTATTTATTGAAATTCTGTGTGTAAACGGTGATGTAAAAGAGGGAACAAAATTTTAAAAACCATTAAGAGTGCATGGGTTTGTATCCCAATCTTGACACTAGACTTATGTCCCGGTACGGCCGAGAGTGGGGAGGGCCCGTTCTCTCAAAATGCCCTCACACGTTCACGCGTATACAGCTTATGCCAAGAAAATCCCACTCACTGCCTTCTCGTGGCATTACTGTTGTTTACGAAATTGAGAGGATGAAAAGCGAATGTCCGGCGCTTTAACCGGGTTGGTGGACAAGGCGAGTCCACCTAGGGGAGTTGGAAAACCCTCATTCCAAACCAATGGTGCACATGGGCTGGCTCCAGTATCCTGAGGGAACAAATGGCGTATGAATCAACTGTTGGTCACCGGCTACCATGTGACTGCATCTTATTACGATGCTCCACTGCCTTGTGGATCAGACCTTAGGTCAAAGGTTCTGGGTGTGTCTCCTAAGAAAACAACCTGCTTCGGTCTGGGCACCCAGGCTGTATCATGGCCCTCACACAAATAAAATGAAATGACAATTTTTGTGTGGAGCATATATATCTAATGCCCCCTTGATCAGTATTTATGTGTTCAAATAAATAAAATAAATAAGAGTGCTTCACTAATCGGGATATGTATTGGATTATTATTGAATTTTATGTTTAATTCACAACTAACTAATAAACGTACAAAATACAGTCACTTGACTATCTAACTTTGATGTAAGGTTACTGTTACTCGACTACTGGAATAAACCCTGATGAATTATTAGTAACTGAACCATAAACTAAAACAAACCATGTGCCCATATGCAACCTTATGACGCACGATGTCCAAGTTTGATGTTAATACAGAAACTTTATATACGCAAGCCCCAAAGGGGCTATTGAGAGGGAAGACTAGGAATGGGGCAGGAAGTTTATTGGATTAAATTGAAGCAATTGCCCAAGTACTCATATATATATATATATATATATATATATATATATATACTTCTTATGAAACGAAATCATTTCTTGACCAATAACATGCACTTGTCAATAAGAGATTTTTGATTGGAATAACGCGGCCTTCTTATTTGGCGACGTCTGATCAGCCCACCGTATCATGCAATACTTTAGTTATGCTGTGTGAACTATTCTATTTTAATATTCAGTGTTACATAGAACTGTTCAAACCAAATGTCACAACTCATGTTAACAAACAGTATAATCTCGATAATTAAGTGGATGGTTATCTCCAAGATATGGGACATTGTATTTCTATGAATTAACAAATTAGTAAACCCATAATGTTTTAAATTGACTACCGATATTACTGAGATATAACAGAATAACACATAACGATAGTAAGATTTGAGTTTATAAAAAATAAACCAATTGAAAATCACCTTGATCTGATGAGGGAAAGGACTTCTCTTTTTGAATAAGATAAATAAATGGGCGAAAACAACTTAAAAATTTGTCAAATATATTCCGCTCCGTTAAAATGTTTTTCAGGCCGAATTCTTGATTAATGTGATTAATAGCGTGTGTAGTAGAAGTGTTATTGTCGATAAATGGATCTGACATCAGGATATGATTATTTAAAGTGTTAGTAAATTTGTTCATTCCATCTTCGACGACACTATTATGGTTAGAATTATGAGTAGCAGTAGTATTGGTATTGGTAGAAGTAGTACCTGTATTGTTATTACTAGTATGCTGAATAGATTTCGACCGACTACATACAAACTGTGCCATAATATTTGTTGCTGAATGGTTACTACAGTTATTATCAATACTTTTATCTTCATTACTATTACTACTACTGCTACTGATTCGACAATTAAATATTGTTGGCTTTTTTGTATTTACATAACTTGTTAACATGCTTAGAGATAATTTCTTTAGAAGTAATTTATAGACTAGGATTCTCGAAACCAAATTGGACTATTTGCAGAAAAAAAATCATGTGATCTTGTGTGTAAACTTTCATTGTTTATAGCGTGAATTCATTCTACCTGATTGTGTGCACAGTTTGATAAATTTAATCTGTAATAAACAGTCGGAAAAATAAAAACAGACTGAATGTCTAATTAAGAGAATAAACTTTAAAGATTTATGCTGATGATGAAACCCAATGTCTTACGACATCATCAGATCTGTGAAATGGTCACCTAACGTAAGCACACAATTCCTATACATTGGGTTACAAATTAAAAGCTCGTTCAATCTAAACATTCACAGTCAGACAGAAACTTATGACAGTATTGCTGGTGTGAAATATACTGACTAAATGATTATTATTATGAACTAAAAGTGGTCGAGTGGTCGAGACAAAGTTTTGTGACTATCTTACACTTCAACATTTCCGTCTATGTCTAATCTTTTCTACTACCAACACTGATACTCTTACTACTCCCACTACTACAGCATCACGCTGTGGTGATAGAATGTAACAGCTTGGACGGGTACACATATGTGTAAGGTTTTATTTTCCATATAACTAAGTGGTTGGTGAAGGGGTCTCAGTGGAAAGAATAACTGTTCAGTGGAAATGAGTTTTTTTATGTAAGCGAGTGACATTCTTACGCAAAATATTATACGAGATAGACGCGGTTGAAATTAACTTTAAAATATAAATGATTGTAAGAGAAGTTTGTTGTACGTTGTTAGCTAACCTATAAGATTAAGGTTGGATTATGCCTACTCACTATCTACCATACACAAACATGAATATATGTAAAAACATATATTTGTACCTCCCATCATTCCGCATGTATAATTATTCCTCTTTATTGTATGGATGTTTATAAATACTTACTATTTATATCTGAACAGCAATAATTTGCTTGCGAGACATATAAATTACTATAGTAATTACAAAATCGTGATATGACTGGTTTATGTAGACAACCAAGCAAATTAAACCCATCAGCAGAAATAAGTACTTACGCATTACTGACCTGTATAGAGGATTAAGGTGGATCAAAACAACGACAGCTTGAAACCTACCTTTTTCTGTAAAAGGTGCGTAGCGCCAGATCTGGATGGTCGTCTAGGTGAGCGGAGAAGGTCATTAGGAGGCACTCATCTGGTATTCAATGTCTAATATTTTATATACTCGGCTCGGTATACAGCTTCAGTTTGTAGGGGATAGAAGGCTAGGTGGCCTCTGTTACTTATGAAAGTGATGATCCCTCGGTCTACTCAACTTTCTTTAGAAAGCGTCGACATATGGAACATCAATCACACATTGAGTTAATGAATTCCATTCGTTGGTAATTCGATGGTTAAGTTGATAGTCGTCGTGAGAACCAGGATAAAAACTGACATGGCTTCAGATCACCACCTGATTGTGGTTGTCAAGACGAAACCGAAGCTAAAGAAAAGCTAGATAGTTGGGGAAACGCCATTACAAACATTCAATACAGCCCTCCCATGACATACTAACAAACTCAACCAATTCAAGATAACTCTGGACAACTGCTTCCAAGCCTTACAAGATCGACTGGAAGGAGAAACGACCGTGAAGGACAATTCGGAAGGGATCAAAGAGGTATTATCTTCAACGTGTCAGGTGCTGGGCCGCAACAACCATCATTAAAAGAAATGGATCTCTAAGGAAGAACAAGAATACGGCAATTAACAACAGCCGAACAAGAACAGAGAAAGTAAAGGTACAAGCTGAATACACAGAAGCAAACAGGCAAGTGAAAAAAAGCATTTGAGCCAACAGGCAGAAATAGTGGAAGAACTAGCAAAGACCGTAAGAGAAGAAAATATGGAACGACTATATGATGTGACGAAGAAACTGGCGGGAAATTATAGCAAACTAGATAGACCAGTCAATGACAAAGAAGGCAGGTCAATCACTGAAATTCAAGGACAGAGGAACAGTTGGGTAAAATGCTTCGAGGAACTCTTGAATAGACCAGCCTTATTGAATCTACTGGATATCAAAGCAGGACCTACAGACCTTCGTATAGATGTCACCCCACCAACGATCTAAAAAATCAGGATGGCGACCAGACAGATCAACAGTGGGAAACAGCAGGACCTGATAATATGCCAGTTGAAGCATTGAAAGTCAAACACAGAAGTAACGACAAACAGGTTTCACACTCTATTCAGGAAGATTTGGTAGAAAAAATAAGCTCTGATGGACTGGAAAGAAAGATATCCCATCAAGATACCAAAGAAAAGAGATCTGAACAAATGTGAGAACTACAGAGGTATCAGTTTTCTGTCAGTACCGGGAAACGTTTTCAACAGAGTGCTGCTGAACCGGATGGAAGAAGCAGTAGAAAGTGGAGAAGATTTGTAGCTCAGATGGATGATATTGATTGTTTGGTCGCGACCACTCAGCTTGGAGAACAAAACTCCATCAAAAAGACGCAGTAGACGCCCGAATTCGAGATCAACAGGCTGAATTTCATAAGGATCAGTCGTGTACAGACCGACTTGCGAGACTACAGATCATCGTGGAACAATCAGCCACTACACATAAACTTCATTGAATATGAGAAAGCATTTGACAGAGTGAATTGGAGAACATTATGGAACCTTCTTCGACACTATGGAGTTCCTGAGAAGATAGTCAATATTACTCGGAACTCATACAATGAACTACAGTGCGGGGTTGTTCATGGAGGTCAAATGATAGACGTATCTCAAATAAAACCAAAGTCATACAAGGCTGTCTACTGTCCCCATTCCTCTTCCTTCTGGTGATTAACTGGATTATGAGCACCTCGACATCTGAGGGGAAGAGCGGAATACAATGGACATCTCAGAATCAACTAGACGATTTGGACTTCTCAAATGACCTAGCCCTCCTATCTCATACACACGAACAAATATAGACGAAGACGACTAATGTAGCAGTAGCCTCTACATCAATAGGCCTCAACATACACAAAGGAAAAAGCAAGATTCTCATATATAACACGGAGAACGCCAAACTAATCCCACTTAATGGAGAAACTCTGGAAGTGGTGGAAACATTCACGTACCTGGGAAGCATCAATGATGAATGTGAAGAATCTGACGCAGATGTCAAGGAGAGTATTGGCAAAACAAGGGCAGAACTTCTACAATTGAAGAACATATGGAACTCAAAAGAACTGTCAACCATTATCAAAGAGAGAATCTTCAGTACGCAAAAATGGCCACGTCTGCAAGGCTGAGTGATACCATCTTACTGAATTGAAATAACTCCCCCGGCTTTACCATTGTTGGCCTTCTCTCCATGTTAAATGTTGAATATCTATTTCCCAGCTTTGAGGACTGTATGGTTAGGACCAATACCACTACAGGACAATAGGCGTAAGTCAGTGCCTCGATGATTAATATACATCACAATGCAGTTGGAAGCATTTGTCAAAAGTTGACAAATTTTAAACTATTCAAATAATTTTTCCAGGTCATTTTAAAGCTCTAAACTGTCATCTTTACTTTTTGTCGCTCTCCATATCTAGATATCCTCAACATATAAGAAAAGTGACAATGATAAGGGACTAGAAAGATCACTTACATAAGGGAGGGACAACGTGGTCCCCAAATTGTACCTTGAGGTACTCCACTAAACAAAGTTTACCAGGTAGAAGACTTGGAGTTCACTCGTACTCCAATGACATATTTGACCAAAATTTCTTTAGAACTCTTCTCAGAAGCCTCTGTTGGACCTCAACGACTACAATAAACTTTCTGGATGTTTAGCGGAGATTCAGAAGAGTTTGGTTATAGAGTATAGTTAACCTCCAATCTTTTATTATATTAGAACGATCTCATCGAACCTTTTCCCTTGATTAAGCTGAAATTACGGAAAAAACGCTTCCATATGGCTAAAACTTTATTACACAAATATCGGGAACATGTGTCCCCCGTTGGCCTGATGCAAACACACAAATTCATCATTTTTCAGAGGAAAATCGGTAATATAATGCATACATATAGTACAAGGGTGAATAACTTCTAATTATCTTTCAAGAGCCTTTATCGAAATTTCAGGCTGTCGGTTGGTGCTTCTATTTAACCCCTTAACTCCAGTAACTATATCATTACTTCGAGCTGCGAATACACCACCGAGGATAAACAAGCTACTACTCGTTATTCTGTGACTTTTTAGTAGAACGGAAGTTTATATGGAGTTCAAGGTAGTCAGACGTATTTGTGCCACAACCCTTCAACTTTCAAAGGGAATTTCAAGAACCATGTTGCAGACTATAGTTACAACTTAGGAAACTCTTCTCTAGAAGTTCCCCAAGTTTAAAAAGATTTAAGAGTGTTGGTGCCCTACGACCTGAAGTCGTACGCTAACTGTGACAAAAACGCCTTTCAAGCAAACCTTGCACTGGTAACATTGAAGCACATTTTTGGCCAGTTTGGCGGTAGAACTTTCCACATAATCCTCAAAAGTTTTCCCCATTTACAGTACGGAAACATAGTATTTCCTCCCTCCCTCGAATAGAATAAGGACACTCTGGAACGCATCCAACGTCGAGCCACGAAATCAGTTCGGGGACTCAAATTCAGACCTTATGAAGAGCGCCTCCATTCATTTAATCTTTACCCGTTAGCGTACAGACATCTTAGAGGTGACCTTATGACTTACAGTATCCTTAACACTTCTGGACATCTCCTTAAACATCTTCTTATGCTTGGTCACAACACTAACATAAGAAGTAACATCCATAAACTGGAGACCCAATATAGCAAATTAGACTGCAGATACAACTTCTACCCCTTAAGAGTTGCCGACTGAGCTGGTCCAAGAGACTTCCCAGGAATCCTTTAAGAAGAAACTTGACTTATCCTTGAGGACTAAGGATAACATGTTATTATTTACCGAATTCCTTTTTTCCTCTATTATCGTTAATATGCCTAGGTTCTTGCCTGGAGGTACTGATGATCTACTGCTACTAGACACGGCAGCCCGTTAAGAGAAAGCATCTTTTATTCCGTCCTCAACCATTTCAGCCATTTGAATTTAGTAAAACTTAGATTACAGAAAAACAGGATCCTGATTATATTGTTGTAATGGAGTGGTGCAAAGTAAAAGTAAGGGGATAAGGAATCAGTTAGTTTAACATAGGTCATTGGAATGAGATTTTTAATTGAATCTGTGATTTATTTTACCCCCCTAGTTCAAATGTGTACGGTGCATTCTTTTTGGAAGCAACGTATACAACAACTAAAATGCAAATCCAAACGATGTGCCCATAAATTATGACCTTTGAACGTATGATGGAATGCGGGTTCAAAGCTGGGGATGTTGTGAAAGCCAATTACACTTTCAAGAAAGACAAAAATGAAGATTTACCATTTAGTAAAAATGAAACACTAGAAATCATTAATATTGGCAAAGTGAGCTTAAATTTTTAAACTAAACAGTATCGATCTGTTTATCAAGGATCCGAATTGGGCCCATGCGAAGAATGCCTTTGGAGAGACTGGGCTTATCCCCCTAAATTACGTTCAGCGAAAGGCGGATAGTTTAGAGAATCTCAAAGATCACTGGTAATTAAATTACCTATGTTTCAAACTGAATAAACCAATAATTATATTAATGGTCTATAAAAGTGGTGATGTTTGTATATCGTTTACATTTTTATGCTCCCTAGTGCTAAACTCCATATACATGTTGTAGTTATAACATGGTGGTATTCTCATTATTTTGTCAGTACATGGTGTTAGATGCGCCCATAATACGTGAGCCATCTATCGTCTCCAGAATGTGGCGTATTTTCGTCACAGGTACTTAGGGTATTACTCATTTCTGAATGCTATCAGAATGGCAGTAATTGTATACCGTACATTAGAGCCTAAGCTACCCAAAATTTGCACTCAACTTCAAGTTAAGTTTTTGGTTCTCTGATTTGACGACTAGGTACTGTCCAAAGTTGGTCTGATTATCTTTGATCCTTGTTCATAGACTGGGTAGGTGAACCGATTCCCATTCGTTCATGCATGATTTTCCATACTAATACTCCAAACTGCAGTCTAATCAGTTCTACAAAAATAAGCAAATAACGACATCCCACCAATATCCTTGTTAAAGCTGTTAGACCTGGCACAAA